GATCCTGTCTCAAAAAACAAAAACAAAAACAAAAACAAAAACAAAAACAAAAACAGGCCAGGTGCAGTGGCTCACGCCTGTAATCCCAGTACTTTGGGAGGCTGAGGCGGGTGGATCACAAGGTCAGGAGATTGAGACCAGCCTGGCCAACATGGTGAAATCTTGTCTCTACTAAAAATACAAAAAATTTAGCTGGGCATGGTGGCAGCACCTGTAGTCCCAGCAACTCGGGAGGCTGAGGCAGGAGAATCACTTGAACCCAGGAGGCGGAGTTTGCAGTGAGCTGAGATCGCACCACTGCACTCCAGCCTGGCGACAGAGTAAGACTCTGTCTCGAAAAAAAAAAAAAAAAAATCTATTTTCTACCTCACATTGAATGATTCCATTTTATTGGTGGGAGGAAGGGAGGAGGGAAGAGTTGTGATTCCTACCGTGGCTCAGCTGAACTTGGAAGGTGGTAGGTATCTGTGAGTGGGGTGCTGGAGCCATGCGCCACAATATAATGTTGAACAGCTGGCCGGGACAGGTTGTGAGTGAAGGAGGCAAACGCTTATGGCTGTACCAACCACCCTGAAGGCATCCGATCTCATTTTCTCTCAGAAGCCAAGCAGGGTTTGTCCCAGTTGGCAGCAGTAGTAATGACAGATTACGCTTATTGCCAAAGAACAGTTTCAAACATTTTACCTAGAGCTATGATCTGAATGCCCCCAAAAGTCATGTGCTGAAACTTAGTCCCCATTGTGGTGGCATAAGGGGGGCCTTTAGGAGATGATTAGGCCATGAGGGGTCTGCCCTCATCAATGGGATTACTGCCTTGTAGAAGGGCTGGGGGGACCCAGCTTAGGCCCTGTCTGCCACATCCGCCCTTCTGCCATGTGAGGACAGAGCGTTCATTCCCTCTGGGGGATGCAGAAACAAGGGGCCACTTTAGAAGCGAAGACCAGGCTCTCACCAGACATCAACCCTGCCGGTGCCTTGAGCTTGGACTCTCGTTTCCAGAGCTGTGAGAAATAAATTTCTAGTCTTTTTTTTTTTTTTTTTTTTTTTTTTTTTTGGAGACAGAGTCCAGTCGCTCCTGTCGCCCCCCCCAGGCTGGAGTGCAGTGGCCCGGATCCTCGGGCTCATGCAACAGCTCCCGCCGCCCGAGTTTACAGCCATTTTCTTCAGTTCTCCTGCCTCAAGCGTTCCCCACGAGTAGCTGGGGACTCAAGGACGCCCGCCACACCCCTCGCCGTGCTAGTTTTTTGGTATTTTTTAAGGAAGAGAACGGCGTTTTTCACCGACATTAGCCAGGATGGCCTCGATCTCCCTGAACCTCGTGATCCGCCCGTCTCGGCCTCCCAAAGTGCTGGGATTACAGGCTTGAGCCACCGCGCCCGGCCATAAATTTCTATTCTTTATAAATTACCCAATCTCAGGCATTTTGCTTTAGTAGCACAAATGGATTAAGATATCTACACTTATATTTAATCTTCCCAACAACTATAAGAGGTGGGTAGGTATTAGTATCATCTCCATTTTATGGAAAGGAAAGCTGAGGCTTTGAGACTTTGTGCGAGTGAATTACACAAGACCACACAAGGCTAGTGTATGGTAGATTTGGGTTTCAAACCCAGTCAGGCTCCAGATACTGCTTTCTTAGCTACTACATTATATTGTGTTTGATGGGGAGATGGTCTTGAAAAACAAGATGCTGCAAGCTTTTTTTTTTTTTTTTTTTGAGACAGTCTTGCTCTGTCACCTAGGCTGGAGTGCAGTGATGCAATCTTGGCTCACTGCAACCTCCACCTCCCGGGTTCCAGCGATTCTCCTGCCCCAGCCACCTGAATAGCTGGGATTACAGGTACCCACCACCCCGCCAGGCTAATTTTTTATATTTTATCTTGGCTCATTGCAACCTCCACCTCCTGGGTTCAAGCAATTCTTCTGCCTCAGCATTCTGAGTAGCTGGGATTACAGGCACCTACCACTATGCCAGGCTAATTTTTTGTATTTTTAGTAGAGACAGGGTTTCACCATGTTGGCCAGGCTGGTCTCGAACTCCTGACCTCAAGTGATCTGTCTCAGCCTCCCAAAGTGCTGGGATTACAGGCGTGAGCCACCACACCCGGCCTGCAGGCTTTCTTTCTACTTACTTCAAAGCAGTGGCAGCTCCAGAATTTATAGACAGTAGGTAATGGAGGGGCATAAGCCATGTTTTTTTTTTTTTTCCTAGACAGAGTCTCACTCATCACCCAAGCTGGAGTACAGTGGTGCAATTACAGCTCACTGCAGCCTTGACTTCTCAGGCTCAAGCGATCCTCTCATTTCAGCCTCCTGAGTAGCTGGGAGTACAGGTGTGTCCCACTACACCCAGCTAATTTTTGTATTTTTTGTAGAGACGAGGTCCACTATGTTGCCCAGGCTTGTCTTGAACTCCTGGGCTCAAGTGATCCTTCTGCCTTGGCCTCCCAAAGTGCTGCAATTACAGGCCCGAGCCACTGCCTCCGGCTAGCAATGTGGTTGAAAGGTATGGGTGTGCGTAGGAGCAGGTCTGGGGTGGGGGATAGAGTCCATACTTTGAAACTTGGTAGCATAGTAAGCATGCTATTCTTTCACCATAATTTTAGGTTTATTTAAAGTGTCTAGAGAGGGCGGTTAATAACAAAATTTAGAAGTGATAAGCTCTGCTCCCATGCCTAGAGCTGCTGCTGCTTTTTTTTTTTTTTTTTTTTTAGATGGAGTCTCGCTCTGTTGCCAGGCAGTGGCACCATCTTGGCTCACTGTAACCTCCGCCTCCCAGGTTCAAGTGATTCTCCTGCCTCAGCCTCCCGAGTAGCTGGGACTACAGGCACCCACCACCACGCCCAGCTAATCTTTCGTATTTTTAGTAGAGATGGGGTTTCACCATATTGGCCAGGCTGGTCTCGATCTCTTGATCTCATGATCTGCTGGCCTCGGCCTCCCAAAGTGCTGGGATTACAGGTGTGAGTCATGGCCTCCGGCCACCTAGAGCTGCTGCTGCTGCAGAGCCTCATTTGGTTTTCGCTGCACCCCATTTTCCTCTCTCCTCCACATTGTCTGCTTGGTTGATTAATGACAGAGCTAGCCAGGAGACAAGTCTAGCCACTCCCACACAAAACTCCAAAGTCTTTGTCTAAACTTGACATGTGTTACAAACAGACCTAAAAGGAAATAAAGGTCATCTGACTCAGTCTTCAACACGTACATGCACAGCATGAGTGTCAGGGTAAAGAAAAATGAGTAACAAATTGGGTAATGGGGATTTTTTCTAAGGCATGTCTACACTGCAAGAATTGGCCAGGGTCTCGGTCTCCCAATTGCCCTGGACTGACAGCTTCTCTCTCCCTGGAGAACAGCAGTTCAGGGCCCCTGTTCAGCAGGCATGCCACACAGTCCTCAGCCAGGAACCCTGTTCAACTGACTGCTCAACTTGCTCTCCGTCAATCTCAACAGACTGCCCTCTGGCTTCCCAAGAGAACCAGCCCAAGCAAAGCCACACAGAGGGCCTCTTGGTTACCAGTGTATGGGGAGGATGGCTCTCCAATCTCAATGTGCAGCAGAAACAACCTGGTCCTGGGGAACGCACACACATTGCAGGACCCCTGGATGCAGGTAATCCCAGAATCACACCTTAAGAGACTTTTCAGGCAGGGCTTGGTGGCTCACGCCTGTAATCCGAGCACTTTGGGAGGCCGAGGTGGGCAGATCACCATGTCAGAAGTTTGAGACCAGCCTGACCAACATGGTGAGACCCCATCTCTACTAAAAATACAAAAATTAGCCAGGCGTGGTGATGCACGCCTATAATCTCAGCTACTCAGGAGGCTGAGGCAGAAGAATCGCTTGAACCTGGGAGGCAGAGGTTGCAGTGAGCCAAGATTGCACCACTGCACTCCAGTCTGGGTGACAGAGGGAGACTCTGTCTCAAAAAAAAAAAAAAAAGACTTTTCAGTAACTTCCCATGGCACTTCAATTTCAAATCAAACATTTTACAAGGGTTTCTAAGTCAACAAAATATATGTTGATGCTTGCAGCTACGCACTAAATTGTATCACCTACTCCAAAATTCCTGTGTTGAAACCTTTAACCCCAATGTGCCTATATTTGGAGAGGAGTCTTTGAGGTATTAGATGAACTCACGAGGAGGGCCTCACGATGGGATCAGAGAACTTGTTTCTTCTCCGAGTACACCTAGAGGTCATTCTGAGCACACAGTGAGATGGCAGCCACCTACAAGCCCAGAAAGGGGCCTCAAAATGAACCTACTTTGCAGGCACCTTGATCTCGGACTTTCAGTCTCCACAAATGTGAGAAAATAAGTCTGTGTTTAAGCTGTCTAAGCTGTGCTTAAGCTGCCTAAACTGTGTTTAAGCTGATGTGTTATGGCATCCTAAAACTGACTAACGCACCTGCCTCTGTCTTCAATTTTGCTATCTGCGACTCTTGTTCCAGCCATGTTGATTTTTTGGGAGCTCTGGAACCTGCCACAGGACGTCCTGAACACTACTCTCTCGGCACACTGCACTCCACTGTCCCTTCCTCCGTCACTCCAACCCTGCCACTCTAGGGGCTGGCTCCTGCTCAATCCAGTTCTCAGCTTACATGTCACTTCCAGAAGTGGCTACCTGGCAAGGTTTCTGGTGTTTACCTACTTACTCTAAATTTCTCTTCTCTTGATTTCTTACACATATTTATGGCGCATCACATAGCATCTTTTTGTTGCACATGCTTGACTAATTCATTTTTGTTAATTAAGGCCCTTGGGTGGCCAAAATTTAAAGTAAGCTAGCTAATTTATTAAACATCTCTGTCAAATTTGTACTTGTTTGAGGCAACTTTAATTAAAGCAAGCTACAAATAATGTAGAGATGCCCTTTTCAGTATTTTCTTTTACTACCCAGAGCTCTCAGTGATATCAATCTTTCATTCAAAAGTCAAGTAAAAGTTTAATACATACAGTAAGCTGAAAAGTGGTAGTGAAATGAGCTGAGCTTTGCTTTTCCAAACATGTTTCCAAAAGTTTATTTTAAAACACACGCATAGTGTTGGATACAAATGCCTTTTAACCACTGTGGTGGGGAAGAGCAGACTGACTGCTTCCAATGATCATCTCTTCCCTCTGCGTCCACTGTTCTCGGAGTCTCAGGGAGTACGAGAGGATGCTTCTCTTCCTTTACTTCCCTGTTTGTTGTAATGAGTCCTTCGATGACAGTAATTATGTGACCGAATTTTCCATAACTACTTGCCGATTATTAAAGTTTTGCAGCGGCTGGTTTTCCTATTGGTGTCTTACAACCTAAGATGAAAAAAGAGGAGCAGCTCATGAAATGATGCTGATTTTGCCCTTCCTCACACAGCTGTTCCTTGGGCGACTGTCCAGGAGAGGCGCTGGACACTTGTGCAGAGCTTCACAGGCTGGCCAGTACACATGGGGAAGCCAGTCCCCTCCACAAGGGAAGCGTTAGATACTCCAAGAGGGGACGGTATGGCCAGAGCCACAGGGCCAGGGCCAGGAGTTGAACCCCGTCATGTTTTCTGAACTCCAGTCCAGTATGTTCATGCTCACATCACATCTGTTTTCTGTGATTAAGTAATTGATTCCGTCACCCTCATGGGGCGAGGTGTTTGTGGTTGTTGTAGGTATATACACCTCTTCAGACATGATATAAATAGGAGACTGGGATTTCGGCCTACATATTTTTTTCTACAAGGTCTAGTACTTCCGCCTTCCCGATATGTGTCAACTACCTCATTGCCCTTCTACCCTTTTCTTCAACCATTCTCCTTTTCCGTATGCCCCATTCTGATCTGCCGCAAATCCCAACAGACATCTATTAAAGCTCTTCCATGCAGGTTTGATGATGTACTGAATTAAGATTAGGTACAAAAACAGTACTTGTAAGATGATCCACTCAACGACATCATGCTATTCAATAGGCAGATTATTTTTTCCAAATGTTAACACCCTCCTTTCTAAAATGGCCCCATCATTGCTAGGAAAAATGTTCTTGACCCCCTCTGACTGTATCTCTGTTTATGTCAACACTCAAGGACTCTTATGTCAAGGAAGACAACACTCAAGGACTCTCTTTGGGCTGGACTATTTCTTTGTCGCTGTTAGGCTCGGATTATTGTGCCAAGGATGTGCTATCAGCTCCTAATTCTGAGTTCAGAAAGTCTACGTGATAGAGACACTGACTCTAATCCCTCACTTGGGAAAGAAGCAATGCCAGACAGACAGTGAGAGCATCAAAGAGTGGAGATGAGGTACTCTCTCTGAGGCAAGGATGTGAAGGGTCTGGGCCTCTGGCTGAGGTCAGTCATGTTAGGGACTGACTCTACTGTGTAAGACTGCTTCTTTTATGCCTGTTGTGATTTGTTAATTTTCTTTGTGCTTTCTCTTTAGCTTGAGAAAATTCTAGACTACATAAGTAATTCCCTGTTTATGTTAGAACTCTACTACTTACTGATCATTTCAATAAAGTATTTGGTGCCACAGTATACTTTCTTACTTTAATTCATCAACAAAATGTGAAAACTTGTATTTTATTAAACTGCACTTACCAAGCATTTCTTCTAATTTGGTTGTGGCAGGTTCATTCACATTAAATATACAGTTATTATTTCTAGGAGAAAATAACAAGCTTTATTATTACATAAACTCTGGGGAAAAGAAAACTTTTATATTTTGTTCCTGACGGTAGCTATTGTAAGACTACTTTTCAATTGACTTCCTCAAGGCCGGTCCTAAGTAGTCCAAAGGCCTCGGGCTCCTGTCCCACTTCCTGGCTTCTTGCTTCATTCTTCTGACCACATAAGAGACATGACTGTCAGAGTTTACATATTAAGCTTTATCACTGTTAAATTCAACCACTTAGAAGAACATATATCTATATGCTTATACATACATATACGTGTATCTATATATGTATTATGTATTTATGTGTGTCTATGTGTATATACACTCATATGCCCACTACACTCCCGAAAATCTTTCTTGTAATTATAAATTTCAACATTAAGTAAAAGCAAAAATATTGGCCTAAAGTTCTTTCTTTCTTTCTTTGCTTCAGTTGCATTTCTATTCATAACCACATACAATTTTCCGGGTAACCTGTACTGAATTAACTAATTAGAGGAAGGATAAGGAAAGTGTAATATGACGTTTCCTGGATCATCTATTTCTACATCTCTGGATTTTTAGCTCAAATGTGATTGGTTTCCTTGTTGTTTGAGCACTCATGGAATCTTGTACAGTACTTACATCTTCTTCTTCTCCACTACTCCGAGCCTCACACAAGCTGCTAAGGCATTTTTCTGCACATCGGAAGATAATACATCATAACACTGAGAGGTACCTAAAATCAGGGGTAAGGAATGGTTAGTTGACCAGTTTTTATTCTCAACTAAAAGAAATCAGCACCCACAGAACAGTGACCGACCTTGATCAAGAAGCTGACTTGTGAATTTTCTGACTGCGGCCAAGTACTGTTCCTCACTGAAGTGGTCCTCTTCTTCACTCAAAAGGTACTTGCAAATTATCTGATTTTTTAAGAGGAAGGATGAGGGGAACAGAACGAGAAAAAGGATAGCCAAATTCAACAGAATAGTAAATAACTTTACATTGCCCCTCTTAAGAGAAAGACGTATCACAGCAGAGCAGCATAAAGACCCTCTAAGGAATGAGCACAGAAAAATCAAAGAATTTTTAGGACATCTCCTTTGAGTTTACATTACATTTTACAATTAGAAAAAGGTTTAAAATAATAATGACATTTATTAAAGTATAATTTCTCACTTCAAGGGGTACAAGTTAATTACCATCAGCTTCACATCTCTTATGCTACTTGGGAAGAGAGGGGTCAGATTTTAATAACTTTGCTTTTTTTCTCTAAATACACCTAACAAAGTACCATACCCTAAAATACTTGATTTCTACTGTAGAAAGGTGATTAAGGGTAGAATTAGCATTTATCAAATGCTCAGTAAGTGCCAGACTTTGTGCAAGGAGGCTGAATGAGTTATTTCACGGACCACAAGCACCAGGAAGTGGGTCCAGGTACCCAGAGCTAGTGCATGTATTATATAAACAGACCCGAGTCACAGCATCCTCTTCTCTCAAACATGTGGAAGTCCTTCCTACAGTTTATGTTTCAGACTTTCTCGCCTGCTGAGTCCTGGCACAATTCCTGCTGGGCAACATACCATCCCCTCTCTAACTACTTCCAAGAGCTCTGACAAACGCTTTCAGAACTTGCACTTGAACTTTTTCTTTCCAACATAAACATCTGGTAATCTGTAACTGACTTTATGTATCACTCAAGTCTTGCCTTTACTGAGTGCCTGGTATATATCAAATCTCGAGGTTACATATTGACTGACATGAAGACCTCATTAAGACATGAGACACAGTATGACAGATGATGCTTGGGTGTAACTGTGGTCCTGTGAATGCTGTGCTCATGGCATCACTAAGCTGTTGTCCTCTTGGGTCTGTAATGAACCAAGCTTCCTCCTGAATGCAGGGAGCAAGGTCTCACTGGTGAGGTGAAATCACTGATCGTATTAATCACTCTCTCTCCTTCTTCCATTTGCCTGAGGAAGATACCTGCCTTTCAGACTGGAAATAAGCACAGGGTGAGAATGTCTTATTATATTTGATACGGGGGGCATGAAGGAGAACTTGCCAAATTTACGTACCTGATAGCTTTCCACAAAAGGTTTAAAGAGTTCTATTAAAAATTCTAACACAGTATTTCCTTTCTCTGTAACTAGGATGTCTTTCGTAGTCACTTGTATGGCTTCACTTTTACAAAGCAGGTAACAGCCTTCTTCAAAGTCCTAGAGGTGAAGAGGAAGCCATAGTGCTCATTGAGGGTAATGGGTATAGTGCCCAGCTCAATACATGTACCCCCTCATCTAGGTTAATGGGTACACCACCTGTCTCAATATATGCAGCCACACGCCCTCAGACAACAGAATACCAGCTATTTCCCCAACTTCCAGAACAATTCTGTTGTGAGATAGTAGCCAGAGAAGCACTGTTCTACATTCAAAATGTTTTCAAACACACAACATTTCTGAGCCTTACAAATCACAACCTGGGTGATGGATTTTCTTTCACTTTACAGAACCACTACTTAATTTAAATAGGAAATATATACAGCAAGTCCTAAAAATACTTAGAATTATGCTATGGTTAAAATTTGCAGCACTCCTGTTTCACTCCCTACAGAATCAAACCTCTTATCCTTAAAGCACACAAAAACCTAACATGCCTCTCATCTACTCCGTCACTTCCCACTTCAACCAAGCAGCAGTCCAGTTCTGCGAGCCTGATGACTCCTCAGCTGTCTAGACCAGGCAGGACCACCACTTGCTACTTTCAAAGTAAAAGGCACTTGCCTGGGTGACTCATTCTAACAACTTGCTAACAGGAAAATGAGTGCAGATTTTGTTTTGTTTTGTTTTGTTTTTGAGACGAAGTCTTGCTCTGTCGCCAGGCTGGAGTGCAGTGGCACAATCTCGGCTCATAGCAACCTCTACCTCCCAGGTTCAAGTGATTCTCCTGCCTCAGCCTCCTGAGTAGCTGGGATTACAGGCACCCGCCACCACACCCAGTTAATTTTTGTATTTTTAGGTAGAGACGGGGTTTCACCATGTTGGCCAGGATGGTCTCGATCTCTTGACCTCGTGATCCGCCCGCCTCGGCCTCCCAAAGTGCTGGGATTCCAGGCGTGAGCCACCGCGCCCGGCTGTGTGCTGATTTTTAAATGTTTACTAAAATAAAGTTAGTTTAGTTGCAACGGCCACACTGATAGTTCAAAGAATGACTCTCCTCTCATGAGATAATCCCTAAGTTATTAACTAAACTTGACCAAGAATCAAACTAGAGTCTGCTGAACTGTGAGCGCCCCAGTTTCTCTTGAAGTCTGCTCCACTTTGCCTTGAAGAAAGGGATGGCACACTGCCTGAGACATATCTGTGAATTCACCCCTAACATTTCTAGAACTCACACTGCAAATACACTTGCTCTTTGTTGTAAGCACTTTACCTTTAGTGTGTTTCCTGGAAGGAAGATGAACTCATCTGCAAAAACATCACGTAGGAAGCGAAAGCAACTGTAGACATCCTCTGGAAATAAATTTATTATGTAAAATTACAACATTGCCCTTTCAACTTTAAGGAAGTACCAGGAAGTCCTCACTATCACAAAATGTATTTCAAAGGCACATTTTATTCATGTAACAGGGACAAGAATTAAGTCCCCTGAGGGAAGCTAAATTAAACCCAAATCTTATCTACAGAGCGAACTACGGTCTAGCATAGTTTGTTCTTTTTGTTTTTTTGTTTTTTGAGATGGAGTCTCGCTCTGTCACCCAGGCTGGAGTGCAATGGTGCGATGTGGGCTCACTGCAACCTCCGTCTCCCGGGGTCAAGCGAATTCTCCAGCCTCAGCTTCCCAAGTAGCTGGGATTACAGGTGCCCGCCGCCACGCCCAGCTAATTTTTGTATTTTAATAGAGAGAGGGTTTCACCATGTTGGTCAGGCTGGACTCGAAGTCCTGATATTGTGATCTTCCTACCTTGGCCTACCAAAGTGCTGGGATTACAGGCACAAGCCATTGTGTCAGGCCCTAGCATAGTTTTTAAATGATTGAATATAATCTACAACCAGTAGAAACTCAGTAAGACATCACAGTCCTTAGAGGCCAGGACACTTCATTTTTCCCTACCCCATGGCTCCCTAGTAGGGAAAGAAAGGTACTGATTTCTTAATTTCCCTTTATATTCGTATTTCCTGGTATCTTTACTGCATCTATAGCACTTTTCCTTAGAATCAGTGTGGAGCTTTAAAAAGCCAAAACCAAAACCAAACACCAATGGCTGGCCCATACCCCAGGTCAACTGAAGAAACGGGGTGGGGACCACTCCCCTCGTAATTCTAACATGGGGCCTTGACAGAACGCCCTGGCCTTGACTACAGGCTCCTGTGAACATGACCTGTGCTGTACTCATTTTTACACTCCTAATGCAATTAGAATGAGACCGTGCATCTCGTGAGTACTCATCTACTGCTGACTGCTCACCTGCCCACCTGCCTTTGCTGGATCAGGGAGCTGGCACAGCAGAAACAGTGCTGCACACCAGGAAGTAGAGAACTGTACTCAAATGCCAGATCCTTCTCTCAGTAATTATGAAACTTTCTAGGCCTCATTTTCCATATTTATAAAAGGAAAGGTTTAGATTATTTCCAGGTCCTCCCAATTCCAAAATTCTAAGCAGATGAACAAGTATTTGGGGAACAAAGCTAACTTTGTCTCAGTGATACGCCTGCTCTTCACTGGGGTGAGGCTGAACATTACAAGGCTTCAAATGTTGCTCCCTAAATGGAATGGAATGGTCAGACCTCTTCTAAAACTCAAGATTGCATTCCTGAAAATTACCTTTCCTGAACCCTGGTGTCATCTGCAATGCCATTGCTACTAAGGATGGACGGACAAAAATGTTGAGCAGCTGGTTCCTATAAGCTGAGCACATGAGGAGAGTGATGTGCTGGAAAATAAGTCCATCGACCACTTCTGAGTCTCCGGAGTCCACTTTCAGAATCACCTGGTCTCTGACAAGGCTGGCGATGTTGGAATGCAGAAGAATGCTGGCCTGGACAACTTCTTCAGCAGGTTCATTATCTACACACAAAGACAATTCATTCAAACAAGATGGGTCACTGCAGGGAGTCTTGGGCCTAGTGGGCATTAACGTTATTAACAGTAACGTGACAGATGCTCATTTTTAAGTGACAGCTTTTAGTGTCTACCAATTATGGTAATGATACCAAATGTGAAGAAAATTTTAAAAGTACTATTTCATAAATAAATTCTTTCTCTCTAAGGACATATAACATACTTTCTTACCCCAAATTTGTCAGCCATTCTCAAGGCACATCAGTTTCTACTCTGAAAATGAACACCACTTCTGTGTACTTCAGGAACCAAGGGAATCTAAAGTTTTGTAACAGCAAGTTACGTAACTGGAAAGTCACATGCATGGGAATGTAAGAAGACTAAGACAAAAAGGCCCATGATTAGTGTACGAATACATTACAACATACAACACACACACACACACACACACACACACACACACACACCCTTTGCTTAGACCTATACCAAGATGGTAAAAATATCAGTTTGCAGTTTTTCCCAAATCAAAGATAACTAAAGAGGCAGATCCATGGCAGTTCTTGGTAGCTTATCACCTGACATACTGGCCTGCAGACAGCTGCCAGGCAGGTAGAATTACAGAAGCATAATGAAGAGATGGTGATATTTAACAAATATTCTCAGCACGGAAAATTATTCTACGGTTAACCTGAGCCAAAGAGCTGACTGGCAGTGGCACACTGCTCAAGTTTGGTGGCAAGTTCTGCTACTGCTTCAAGGCAGGGACAAGTGAGAGGTATGGCTTCCTCCTGGACTTGATCACATTCATTCTTGACCAACTTGCCTTGTCTCAGCTTGCTCAACTGAATAATATTTTATGTGAAATGATCATAAAAAGCTTGAGATATGCACATGCTTAGGCATGTGGGGTAATCTGCATAAAAAAAGAAAAAAGCAACAGAACTGTAGTGATACTGAACAGACACTCTTAACTATGGATCAGTCATGGCATTTATCCCATTTTGAAAAAGCAAAACACTTTAGAAAACAAGTACCTATGTTTTCATATGTTCCTGGGCCAAACAATGATGGGTTTGAGCCCTTTCAGCTATTTCTCATGACACCCAACACTTGCTACCTTGTATCATAATCAACACGTCCTTTGCCTCCTACCAGACCATCATAGCACTGAGAACAGATGTCTGATTTGTCTCTCTCTTGGTGACTGGCATTTTTGTCAGTAAATCCTCCTCATCTCTTGGCTGTGGCCTGCGTGCTTCTACTGCTGTGGCTCAGGCATCCTGCAGAAATCTCACTGGGACAGAGCAGCCTCCTAACTTGTTTCTCTACCTCCAGTCTTCTGGTGGCGGATGGTGGGGAGGGGGCGGGGAGATCCATCTTTACTTTCCATCTACCCCTCATCCCCCATCTGGGCCAACATTTTAACGTCACTGATGAATCCCTGGGGCCCAAGCCTGCCATCTTGCATTCCTCATCCCTGCCTTGGCGAGGCTCCTCTCCTGGTCTTCCTGAAGGGTTCAAAAGTCACTTCTGTGAAATCTTCCTGAGTATGGTCCCTTTCCTCTGCACAACTCTTAGGAACCCTCTGCAGCACGCACATCACTCCTTGTCTCTGTTCACTGAACCCTCATAACTTGTTTACACATGACCCACCCACCCTGCCCTCTGCAACCCAGGGGAACCTCCAGGATGGGGATGGCATCTTGTTCATTTTCATATCCCTGGTAGTACCCAGCACAGATGAGGTATTCAGTATTGGGTTGATCAAAGAATACTAGGTACTTGACTTCAAATAATTATCTGGTCTTAAAAAAAACACATTTCCAACTGTAGTCTGTATTTTTTTTTTTTTTTTTTGTGACATGGAGTCTCACTCTGTCGCCCAGGCTGGAGTGCAGTGACGCGATCTTGGCTCACTGCAAGCTCTGCCTCCAGGTTCAAGCAGTTTTCCTGCCTCAGCCTCCCGAGTAGCTGGGATTACAGGCGTGCACCACCACGCCCAGCTAATTTTTATATTTTTAGTAGAGATGGAGCTTCACCATGTTGGTCAGGCTGGTCTAGAACTCCTGACCTTGTGATCCGCCTGCCTAAACCTCCCAAAGTGCTGGGATTACAGGCATGAGCCACCACGCCCGGCCTTTTTTTTCTTTTTTTTTTTTTTAGAGATGGGGTCTCACTGTGTTACTGAGGCTGGTCTCAAACTCCTGGGCTCAAGTGATCCTCCCACCTCAGCCTCCCAAGTAGCTGGGATTATAGGTGTGTGCCGCCATGTCTGGCTAGGATTCATGACTTTATTTTCCACTGTGCTAGGTGCCAAGGAAATGGTATTCTAGTCCTCAAGATATTTAGAGTCTTATAGTGGGAAATGACATGTAAACAATTATTCTCAAATAATCAATGTGCTGTGTTCACTGTGTCCTTTACTGATAGAAACAGATCTGGTGTCCTTTCTCTTTTTTGAGGCGGAGTCTCACTCTGTCACCCAGGTTGGAGTGCAGTGGCACGATCTCGGCTCACTGCAAGCTCCACCTCCTGGGTTCAGACCACTCTCCTGCCTCAGCCTCCCAAGTAGCTGAGACTACAGGTGTCCGCCAGCCCGCCCGGCTAATTTTTCCTATTGTTTTAGTACAGCCGGGGTTTCACCGTGTTAGCGACCTCGTGATCCGCCCGCCTCAGCCTCCCAAAGTGCTGGGGTTACAGGTGTGAGCCACCGCGCCCAGCCTGTCCTTTATTTTTCTGAGCAATCCTTTGCTCAAGTCCTCTATAGATTTTTCAGGTCCAGGTTATAACTCTTCCAAATTAAGCAAGCATTCTCAACACATATGTCCTACCTACATACCGGGCCAAATGAGAAACCCTCCAAATGCCTGGGTTAAGCCTTTTAGCCATAAAGTCTTTTCCACCAGAGCATCAAAGTCCATGGATGGCCGGTTCTGAAGCAGAACAGCAACTATTAGGGTCCAGGGGCTCAAAACCATGTTTTCAACTTGCAGAAGCTCCATTTTGTAGGCAACTTCAGTGACAAAGGCATGCATGTCCTCAGACTGTTTCTGAGGAATGTATCTAAAAGGAAGAGCACAGAGCAACAAATTACAGTTCTGCTACTTAGACAAATGGGGATGGAAAAAGACTGACCTTTTAGAAGGCTTCTCATACTTTTTGCCAACTGAATTCTCTCAGGTCAGGTGCAGACAGTATTCCTTTGCTTTACTATGGTGTAATCTGACCATACATTTCTGGAATATGCTCTTGGGAGGTGGTAAAAATACTGAAGAGGTCCAGGGTCCTATTAGTCCTGGTTCCAGGGAAACAACTTTTGTTGCTTCAAATAGGATACATCATTTCTCTGAGAATGGATGCCTGCCCCAGTAGACTGAATTACTGTCTTTTCAGAATCTGTAGTGTACTGAACGTATCTCCATTGTGGAACACACTTATCAGATTATATAATAACTATTTTATACTGAATGGGCGCCATTCAGTTTGTCTGACTTCATGCATGGATTACCACACTTTGAACAGTACGATAAGGCCTACACAGAGCTGGCTGGAGCAGAGACACACACATGACCTAAAAATTGCCACACAGGTGGCTTAATGAGAAAGATGCAGCCAGTAAGGGTGCCCTGTACTAGGTAATAACTTGCCAACCCAATTTGAGATCTAAAGAGAGAAAGCCTGTGGCAGGAAAAAAACTAACATAAGCTTCTGTGATGACTAATGTAGCTGCTGGGAAACTGCTGAAGCTACAGATAAGTTGCAAATGATGTTGAAAGCACATGAGGCCTGGAGGGGCAGATGGTTTGTCTCCCTTACTTGTCCAGGTATATTTCTCTTAATTAAGAAAACTCATATGTATATCTGTGTTCTGTATCCTGAAAGAACTTAATATATTTTCTTGCCCATAAAACTATAACCTTCTTGAGACTAAGGACTCACTCCCATTCATTACCATTATGCAATCCTTTCTAGGGTCAAAAATAATAGTGCATACTTTGGGTAGCCTAGCAATAGTGCTCAACAATTCCTGCACATATCCTTGTTAATAATGGCATTATTTCTTACCACTTTAGTTCCCCTGAGAAACATGATCATGGTCTGATTTTGAATATTTGACATACATATCTTACAGCTCATCACTTTTTTGGGACAAACACATAATTCTTCGTTAATTGAAGGTTTCCACTGATGAAACAGCATTTCTGATCATTTTCTCTGTGATCTTAAGTAAACCAAGAGAAGTGGTCAACTCCAGAATCACAACTCACACCTTTGGATTTTAATCCTCATTTCTAAGACAGTTGTTAAAACACAGGTCACACCTTGGAACCAAGTTATATGAGCTCCGACTCATCCTCCCAGCCGCCAAAGATCGAAGTGACACAGGATCTCCGAAGTACACATGGATGCTTCCAAAATTTTCAGAGAGAATCCTTCTGGCTTTCAACAACCCCTAATAATACAGGGGAAAAGAAAACGAAAAGTGGTAAATTTAGAAATTAGTTGATGTGTCAGTCAGCACATTCTCTCAATTAGGCTAAAATCAAGCTCACGTACAGTTGTCGATTCTTTTGGTTTAGGAACCCCTAGAAGTTCATACACATAAAGAGTTTCTTCCAAGATCTTATCATAACTGATACTAATTGGGACAAGGTAGGTATCAAAAACTTCTCTTTTAAAAAATGGCTCCATCACAATATTCAGAAGACCTGCAAAACACAGGGAGAAATGCTTCATCAACATATTGAAGAGTAGAGCAAACATGGGCACATAAACAGAAAATACTAAAAGCATACATTATACACTAACCCCGTAAATATCAACAGTTACACATTTACACTTGAAAAGAATATCTTGCTAAATAAAGTGTCGAGTTGTATGTAGCAGCTGATGTCTTTGGGTTTGTATTTTTCCTTTTAATCTGTAGTGACCTACCAAATTTAGGAGTCAATGTCTTGGCAGAGCGGCTTCTTGTCCCTTCGAGGAAAAATTCAACAGGAGCATAACCATTCTTTAAAGAGAAAACAAACAAAACACAAAACCCATTGCCTACTCTCAAAACGATAAATGCTTCTTTTGATTCCTTTTCCCAAGCTCCCTCCCAAGCTTCCTGAACAAACACAGCTTACAGTGAAAATTAAACAAGAGAGTCATACAGATTAAACCAACTGCTGCGGTTATGAACAGTTCTTGAGGGAAAGCGAAATAGCTAAGTGTTCTATTCAGAAGTTAAGAGTTTAAATGAGCAAACATCAGTGAAGAAAATATGGCTGAAGAGTACTTGGGAATTCTTTGCATTTACCCGTAACATAGTTTTTACGTATTCAGAGAACACAGCCCAGTAGAGTTTATTGCCACCAAAGGTACGCCGCATGAAAAAGGCACCCGACATTCGTAGCAGCTCACCAACCATTTTCATTCCCAGGAAGTCTAAAAAAGAGGGGATAATATTTATTTGCAGATCTTGATCTTGAAATCGTCTATAAAGATCTAAACTTAAACATTCTTATTTTTCATTTCTGTTTTATTGTTTTATTTTATGAGACAGGGTCTTGCTATGCTGGCCAGGCTGGTCGCAAACTTCCTGGCCTCAAGTAGTCCTCCTGCCTCGGCCTCCCAAAGTACTGGGATTATAGGCATAAGCCACTGTGCCTGGCCTAAACTCAAACATTATTAAGAAAGATTTCATAAATGTAAGATACCCCTATGATATTATTATACTCTGACATTATAAAGCATAAGAGATATCTAATAGAATTATAGAAAAGAGGTGATTCTGTGGGGCAGCTGCTCACTGGGAGGTTACCTTTCGCTTCTCCATACACCACTCCATTTACAAGTAGGTCAGCTAGAAACCACGGGCAACAGCAGAGCAACATCACAATGACATGATGTCAATTTCTTTAGTCAGTCATGCTGCTGAGCCTGACAACAGACCAATCTGTGCCCTACATGCTCTGGACAGCCAGGCCAAACCAGCTCTCATCTTTTTCCTATCAGGTAAAAATATCAACTTACTTTTGTTGGAAGAGATTAAATAAGGCAAATCTTGTAAGAAAGGAAGATTGCTACCAGCAGTTTTAAAATAGTCTTTCTCTTCGTTTCCCCTAATTTTCAAATAACTTCCTCACAAGTTTGTTCAGATGAAAATGCTTTTAAATTGCTTAAGTTCTTGGCAGTTTTAACCTTACCATTCACTGCATTTATTAACAAAGGTGTATACTTGAATCCCGGCTTTCCTGGCTACCCTAAAGGGGAGTGGATAAACAACTTATATGCCTTGGCAATCCTACTTTTAGGAATTGATCTTACAGGAATAAAAGCACTAATATAAAAATATATTATGACATTGTTTATAACAGCAAAACTACTAAATTATGAAATATCCACATTGCTGAATATTATACAGCTATTAAAATTAATGTTAGACATGAAGTTAGACCCTTAACTTATACCATATACAAAAATTAACTCAAAAAAACCAAAGACCTTAATTTAAGACCTGAAACCATAAAACTCTTAGGAGAAAACATAAGGGAAAAGTTTCATGATCTTGGATTTGGCAATGATTTCTTGGATCTGATACCAAAAGCACCGGGAACCAAAGAAACAAATAGATCAATTAGACTATATCAAAACTAAAAACTTCCTTGCATCATTTAACACAATCAACAGAGTGAAAAGGTAACCCATGAAATGGAAGACAATATTTGCAAATCATCTGTCTGATAAGGGTAAATATCCAGGATGTAGAAACAATTCCTACAACTCAACTAAAAAACCCGCAAACAACCTAATTAAAAAGTAGGCAAAGGACTTGAATAGACATTTCCCCAAAGATATACAAATGGCCAATAAGCACACGAAAAAGACGCTCAGCATCACTAATCATTAGGGAAATGCAAATCAAAACTACAATGAGATACCGCTTTACACTCATTAAAATTATTATAAAATATATCAGAAAATAACAGGTGTTGGCAAGGATGTAGAAAAATGGAACTCTTGTGCACTGTTGGTGGGAATGTAAAACGGTGCAGCTGCTACGGAAGACAGTATGGTGGTTCCTCAAAAAATGAAAAAAATTACCACAAGACCTAGCAATTCTATATATACCATTTTTGGTATATATGTAAAAAAATGGAGAGCAGGGTCTTGAGCAGATGCGTTTCCAACTTCAAAAAGGAAGGAAATTCTGACACATGCTGCAACATGGATGAACCTTGAGGGCATTCTGTTAAGTGAAATATGCCAGTCACGAAAGGACAAGTACTGTATGATTTCACTTCTATCAAATATCTAGAGTAGTTAAGCTCATAGAGACAGAAAGTAGAATGCTGATTGCCCAGAGTCAGGCGGAGGGTAGAATGGGAAGTGTGTTTAATGGGTACCATTTCAGTTTTGCAAGATGAAGAGTTCTGGAGATGGAAGGTGTTCATAGCTGCATAACAATGTAAATGTACTTAATGCCACTGAACTGTATTTTTGAAGATGACTTAGATGGTAAATTTGATATTACATGTATTTTATCACAATTAAAAATAAACTTAAAAAAGTTAGATCTATTTATTGCCTAGAGAGGTAGCCATTAATATATTACCAAATAAAAAAAGCAAAAGGCAGGTAATACCTGTAAGTAGTACAGTCTCATTTTTAAAGCCTACACTAAAGAACCCTGTGTGCATGAACTGCAGATGTCTGTTCAGGCACAGTGAAGCACAGGACGAAGGACATAACTCAAGTTGTTCAGTGCTAGGACTGGAAGAAGGGAGGAGAGGCTATTTTCATCATCATCTTCAAATACCTCAGTACTGCTAGAATATGCCAGTGAACTTTTTAATTTTTACAGTTAAAAAAATAGAAAATACGTACCCATTCCTGCTGCTATAACTGGCACAGGCAAATCATAGTTGTATAGAATAAAAGACAACATCAGGAAGTCAATGTAACTTCGATGACTAGGTAGCAGAACAACAGGATGCTCCTGGATGGCTCTTTGTAGCTTGAAAGTAAATGTTACATTTTGAATAACTTCAGTTGTCATGTTATCAAATCACATCTCAAATCAGAAAACGGAAGAATAAGTCTATGTATAGAGGGAATACCCATCCTCTTTTTCTGCCTTCCTACCATACACATAAACGATTTGCTCTGATAAGGTAAAAGTACTGTTTCTAGTTAAACAATTTCACATAACGCAAGAATATTAAAAACGCAAATTTTTATGGGTCAGAATAATGGTAACAGTGATGATCGTTAACACATATTAGTTGGGCACTATATTAGCATCATTTTATATACAGTTGTTTTATGTGCTGTGTCTAATACCACATAATTAACAAGGTCTAAGCCTTAGCTTCCTTGTTTGTAAAATGGTCATGCATCCAATAAATGGTAGAGCTGTGAATAGAACCCAAGTCACTGACTTAAAAAGCCAACTGTTAACCACTGTATTGAATTGGTTGGTTGTAGTATGAGAAAACAAAGCTTCTCTTGGAGAGATTAAAAAAAAATCTACAAATTCATAGGACAAGGTGAGAAGAATGGTATTTCTCTATGTGCTGGACTCACTGCCAGGGTGAATGGGTGTCATGTGGCTGGGAGGGATAATTTGAGTTTCCAAATATACTCCTCAGGCCATCAACCTCAAGATTCACTGGTATCCATGTGTTACCTGCTTTTTTGAAATCTAAATGTAACAGAGGCCAGGTAATCTGTGATCATCACTTAAGACATGGCTCACCAACACCCTTGGTCCCAAACACTGTAACAGTCTCTGACAGATTCAGGGTATAAGTCAGCAATCTCGAAAACAGTCAGGAGGAAGAAGAAATATTTGACAGGAAAGTAAATGACTGAATTAAAACAAAATATTAAAAGGCACGAGGAGGAAGGCAAGTGAAGTTAAGAGCTTTCCTAGGCGGAAAAAAAAAAAAAAAGTAAAAATAATCTCTATAAGGAAAGCTCTTTATGAAATTAGAAAAGTCATCATTTGGCAATCATTCACATAATAACTAATTCTGGTAAAAATCAGCAGTGGGTGCAAAAACGAGTAGGGTAAAGAATGATGCAAAACAGGATATTTAGCCATTCTCAAAGTGTCTTTTCACTATGTAATTAATGAAGATATTCATTAATTATAAAGGAAAAAATAATAACTTTACAGCAGAGAAACCTGGCAGTCATAACCATAACCAACTGATGGAAGTGAAACATCTCCAGTAATGAAACCAACAGGCACCATGTGCTGCTGATACGATGCACTGAGAAGAATGCATCGCTTCCAGGGTATTCCTAGCAAAGGTACACAACCTGAGCCTAATACTGAGATAACATCACTCAAATACTCACATTCAAACCATTTCACATGTCAAAATAATTAGCCTGTTCTTTAAAAAAAAAAAAATTATCATGAAACACAAATACAAATACTAAGGAATTATTTTAGATTAAAACAGTCTAATATGGAAGTGGACAAAGAAGAAAGTTGAACACTTTCTAGGATTTCTAGTGCAACACATAAGCTAGGATTTTCTTTGGCTAGACAGGACACGACCGGGACAACTGGTGAAATATGAGTCAGGTCTGTATTACTAGTATTGGATCAATGTTAATTTCCTTATTTTGATACTTGTATCATAAGATAATGTCCTTAATTACAGGAAAAACACAGCAGAGTATTAGAAAAAGGATAAAGGAAATGCTGTAAGGGAATCTAGGTGAAGTATATACAGGAATTCTTTGCATTTCTTTTGTAACATTACTGAATATCTGACATTAAGTTAGTCTATAAGTCTTAAGTTAGTCTGAAGCCTGTAGGTCTGCAGTTAAAGGGAAACCAAAAGCAGAAAACAACCTTCAGAGATGCACATCCTCTTCTGCCTAGACTGGAGGCCTGATGATTAGGCCCTAGGCTTTTGATGGACCAAGTGAGCTGTCCTTGAGTTGTTTAAATTGTGAAGGGTTGAAAAAGAGACTGTTTTATTTTGTTTGTTTATGATGATACTTTTTTTTTTTTTTAAACAATCAATACTCACTTTCTGAATACCTTCTTCATTTACACACACCTTCGAGAAAATTTGTTTAAATATTTTGCTCAGGGTGAAGGCAAAAAACCGAATGGCTCCAAGACGCAGTTTGTGACTCATTTCATCTAAAATCTCACTAACTTCCTCTCGGAGGACATCCACAGATTGAAGGGATTCCTTGGAAAGCTAAAAGGAAAGGAAAAGCAGGAATAATTTCTAACAACAACAACAAAAAGAGAGAAAGCTTTACTCAAACCAGTATGACTAATTCCAAATGAATTAATCTTCTATAACTCAAATATAGTGTCTTCTTAATTTAAATTGATACAACTTCCCAACCCAGTCATAGTAGATAAATGAGCCTATTTAAAGAAGGTTAAAGGCCAGAAATTAGAAGAAAAATGGCTTTCTAGGATAGCATTTTAGAGTGAAGAAAACACTTCACCTTTCCATTTGGTTTGTTAATAAGTTTACATCCAAACTCTCTAAAATAAGTTGCTGCCCATAGTCTAGTGTGCTAGCAAATAGTGGCTTCTCTCAGTGTTTTACTGCAGCGCTCCACCAGCTGGCTCAATGCTATTACAAGGTAATATACAAGATTACATTGAAATTACTGACTCAGACTACATCAGATCTATCAAGTCATGGGCACACAAAGCCCCAAACTATCAAAGGATAATTAGTGAAATAAAGATCTCAAAATGGAACTTATTTTATTCACATGGTCCTCTAGATCTTTTGTAAAGAAACAAAATGTTTGCTGTGTGCTAGGACTGTCAAGGGCCTGACAGTCAGTTTCTATCCTTGAGGAAGCCCTGATTTGCCCATTTTCATTGTCCCCCAAACAAGCACTTTGAAATGAAGTCTGTAGAATAAGTAATCCTTATGCTTCCCAAAGGAGAGTGCATTGCTTTAGGATGAGCTCAGAAGCTCAGAGGATGGGTGTTAGCACCCCAATTACATGTAGTGAAGAAGTATCTTATTCTTTTTTTTCACTGAGGTTAAATTCACACACTGTAAAATTAATGTTTTTTTTTTCTGAGACAGAGTTTCGCTCTTGTTGCCCAGGCTGGAGTATAATGGTGCAATCTCGGCTCACTGCAACCTCCGCTTTCCAGGTTCAAGCGATTCTCCTGTCTTAGCCTCCCGAGTAGCTGGGATTACACGCATGTGCCACCATGCTTGGCTAATTTTGTATTTTTAGTAGAGACAGGGTTTCTCCATGTTGGTCAGGGTGGTCTTGAACTCCTGACTTCAGGTTATCCATCCATCTTGGCCTCCCAAAGTGCTGGGATTACAGGCGTGAGCCACTGTGCCCAGGCAAATTAATCATTTTAAAGTGAACAATTCAGTGGTATTTTGTACATTCACAAATGTTGTGTAACCACCATCTCTATCTTGCTGCATATCCTATCTTTTTTGGGGGGCTCAGTTCAACAGGGCTAAGAGTGAGGAACTGGGATAAACTCTTTCCTCTTACCTATGTTCCTTTGTTTTACTCAGAGGTTACCTGAAACAGTGATCGTACCAAAAAAAAAAAAAGTTTAAAAATATAGTCAGAAGAGAACTCATACTGAATGGACTGAAGACTAAATGAACTGCTGAGGAACTAAGACACTGGCCACAGAATAATGGGAAAGTCTGAATGAGAAGTAAAGGGAGGATATGAATTAAAGCAAAAAATGTTCTCCCGAGACGCAAAAGTCCTGGACCTATGTTTTTTGTTTTTACTAATTAGCATTCCACTTTAAAAAAATTGTGTTGGCTGGGCGCGGTGGCTCACGCCTGTAATCCCAGCACTTTGGGAGACCGAGGCAGGTGGATCACGAGGTCAGGAGATCGAGACCATCCTGGCTAAAATGGTGAAACCCCGTCTCTACTAAAAAATAGAAAAAAAAAAATCAGCCAGGCATGGTGGCGGGCGCCTGTAGTCCCAGCTACTTAGGAGGCTGAAGCAGGAGAATGATGTGAACCTGGGAGGCGGAGCTTGCAGTGAGCCGAGATTGAGCCACTGCTTCCAGCCTGGGTGAGAGAACGAGACTCTGTCTCCAAAAAAAAAACAAAAAACAAAAAAAAGGAAAAAAATGCATTAAAATACACATAACATAAAATATACCATTTTAACCATTTTTAAGTATACAGCTCGGTGGTGTTAAAGCCTCAGACCTGTTTATAGACCAAATAGAAGAAGTCCCCCTGAGAGAAAGGCTGAAGATAGAGGAAAGGTAGCAGGTGCATGCCAAAGGTCTCAGAAGAGGCTGGACCGGATGGCTTCCAGACCACAGGGGTGTGGCTAGCTGTGACCAGGAGAGCAGGTGCCTTGTCTCTGAGACTGGACTAAAAGGGACAGATGGAAGAAGGGATCCTGAGGCTGCAGAATGTGGATCTGTATAACTCACCCACTCTCCCAGGAGCAGCCAGACACCTGGTTATAGGAACAGAGAAGGTGAGCTGGCAGATTCCAGGCTGCTTTTTTTCCTGGTCAGTCTGGAAGGAAAGATTACAAAGGAGAATTAAGGACGTTGGTGAAACAGCTACTCAGATAATCCTAACAATGGCTGGATAGGCAGAGGGCAGAACCAAGGGAAAATGGAGGAATCAAGGGGCTGGTAAGAGGGATGAAGGGGCAGACAGAAGAACTTATGAAAGAGATCAATGAGGAACATCTAACATGAGATGTCACAGAATAAAACCAGATGTCACAGAATTCAAGGTAAGATGATCCTGAAGAAGAGTGTCTAACATAACAATAAAAGACACAGAAAAGATAACGTGGAGATGAATGGGCCCCTTGGAGATCCATGGTAACCTTTACTAGATAAGCTTCAGCAATCAGCTACAATTGGGACCTGAATGGAAAAGGAAGACACCACATGTACCCACTCTTCTGAGAAGCAGGAAAAGTAGGGAAAGAGGGAAATAAGGCAGAATACATGGCCAAAGGAGGACTTTCCCCTAGATGGAAAATCCTGGTGCCAGCTTGAGCCAGTGGAAAGGGCTGATGGGTAGGAAAGACAAGACCTTTGCGAATTAGAATGAAATGAATAGATCAACAACACAGGTGAACAGGCTGGCTTGCTTGAAGGAAATGCTTTCTCCATGATTGGAGCAGAGCAGAGGACAACCTGACCTCTTATTTCGTGCAATTAGGCTTTTCATTTGCCCAGAAGATACACCTTCATAGAAACCTAATATAAAACTCAACAGATGAGCAATAGTCTTATAACTAACTCCTTGTCTCATTTTTCTGACTCTTCAGTCTCTTCTCCACATTATAAACTTGAGCCATCTCTTAAATACAAAAGTAATCACATCTTTCCTTGGCTAAGACCCCTTCAATGGTTACTACTGTATTCTGTGAGATAAAGGCAGACTGAGTTAGGTGGCAGCAGAGGTGGTAATACATAGACAGGAAGCGACATTTAAGAGAGCAAATCAGCAGTCTTAGTGACTGACAGTATATGAAAGAAAAGCAAGAAGCTGAAGATGGCATCCAGATTTGTGGTGGTATGGTCAACCAGTGCGTGGAGCGGCCATTCCTGGAGACAGGGAAAACTGGGTGGGGGTAGGAGGTAATATCTCTAGACACCTGGCTCAGGGGTAGGGGTGGGAGGGGTAAAGAGTTTGACTTAGACACCTTGAACTTGAGGTGCTTTGGAATTTCCAAGAGGATATTCTAGTAGACATATAAAAACAGACACATGAAACTCAAAAGAGATCTGGGCTGAAGGAATAGATATTATTTATCTATGTTCTTATTATGTTATGATTTATTATAATAGGGAGATGTCAGCATAAGGAAGGTACTTAAAATTCTGGCAATTAATAAAACTGCCCAGTGACTGGGTAGAATAAAACCAGAGGCTGGAATAATATCCTGATGAATTCCATCATTTAAAGAGACAGGCACAGGAAAAGCCCCCATAAAAGCAAGTGAGGAATGATTAAAAAGATACGGGGCTTAGGGTGATGGTATGGTATCATGGAAAGAAAGGAGAAAGAGCAAGAGCCAAAGGCTATGACAGCTTTGAAACAGGTAGAATTTACCCATAAGGAAGTCATTTACAACCTCAGAAAGAGCCATGACAGTGGATGAGAAACCAGATTCCAGCAAGTTGAGTAGTAAATGAAGGGTTAGGAAGTGTGATGGTAAGCACGGACAACGTGGCCAATTTTGAGCCAGGTACAGTGGCTCACACCTATAATCCAAGCACTTTAGGAGGCCGAGGCAGGAGGATCCTTTGAGTCCAGGAGTTCAAGACCAGCCTGGGCAACATGGCGAGATCCTGTCTCTACAAAAAATTTTAAAAAACAAAACAAAAAAAGCTGGGCATGTTGGCACATGCTTGTAGCTACTTGAGAGGCTGAGGTGGGAGAATCACCAGAGACCAGGGAGATCGAGGTTGCAGTGAGCTGTGATCATGCCACTGACTCCAGCCTGAGCAACAGAGCAAGACCCTGTCTTAAAAACAAAACAAAACAAAAAAA